AGTGTAATTCATAAGCTTCATTCTTCTCGATTACGTGAGATACCACTAGTATTTCTCTGTTAAAGCCTATGAGCTCTGGAATGAAATCTAGTGACAGTCTCCAGTAAATTACAGTTGTTTCAACATTGCAAAATTAATGATTATTGTGTGGAGGACGCCCACCGACCGGGTGTTGCTTTGCAGTGCTAGAAACCCCGTTCATATCCTCCTCTTTTGCTTGCCTCAATCCGCTGCGAAGACCAGATTCCCTCTTTTCGACGAACGAAACCAATTCCCAACAAAGACTGGTTTCTATCATCATCATCATCATCATCATCGAATTCCTTAAGTTCTTAAGAGATTTTGTCTCCTAATGTTCTGAGATGATTCTCAACAATATTTCAAGCAGTTAGTGTTCCTGTCATGAAATTAATGGAATATCACGTACTTTATAGATTTACTAGAAGTGTTTGTAACGTATCTAGAAGAAAAAATGCTGAAAAAACAGTTCTATTTCTTAACTCAATACAACCAATCAATTAGTGAGCGACTTTGACATTAAAACAGTGAAGCTGGTATGAAGGACAATTTATATACCACGCACTGTCAAGGAATTCCTGAATGTCTCAACTAATCATCCGAATGTTAGTCGGAATTATTTTGCCTTTTTTTTTGAAATACTACTCTTCTAGCAATGGAATGTTCTACTCAGCTTTCCTTTTAGGAATGGATTGTCGACTCAAACAAATTCAGAACTGAGTGAAGTTTTGAATTGAGCTCTTATCCCTCTTGACTAAGCGTAACTCAGCCCATACATCGTAGTGTTCACACGGTGTGAATAATTTCACTTACGAGATCTTCGGATATACAAATGAAGACGTCACAACTTTACAAAACTCGTAACAGCTAAAAAATTTCGAAATTGACGCAATAATCAAACGACTTTTTCACAAAAAAAAGAAATTCTCTTCTACGAAAAGGTGGAATTGTTAGGGCCACTGGTATTACTGAAAGGAATGGAAATATAGAAAAGTGAAATACAATCAACTGGATCTTAATGACACAATGAGGGGGAGTGTAGCGTAGCGGTTACTGCGAGCCAACAATACGCACGTGGTGCTAGGTTCCAACCTGTGTTCTGGGCAACTGAGGCTTTTCATCTCTACGGAATCGACAAACCGGTACCAGATTTGTCTATTGGAGATGGAAACACTGAGTTTATAATATTAAAGTAATTTTACGATTTCGTGAACCAGATATCATCTCTACAATGCTTAATGGGTTGATAAGCATGGTGGACTATAAAGAGATTGATCATGACCTATCGCCATACCCTTTTATGCTTTGCTTCCACATTTGCACAGCAGCGTAAGGAATGTCTCGTTACGAATAAGTATGATGCTATCGTAACTCGGGTTCGTTCAATTCTGACCTTAAGGCATTCTGTCAACTTCACAGCTTCATTTAACTATTGTTCATACAATTTTAACTTATTATTTACTGCCTACTCTTTTTAACGGCAGGGTATACATTGTGAAATATAACTTCAATGATGCTGAGATATTTGCAAAACTCCGGACCGCAGGTGTATGCGATGGGGAACGAACGCCTTACCTACCGGTAAGGACAATAGTGCGTTCGTTCACCACCGCATACACCTGCGGTCCGGAGTTTTGCAAATATCTCAGCATGATCGAAGTTATATTGTTCATACGAGCTAAAAGTTTGTGAAAGGAAGCTGTAGAAACCATACTTATTTCATAGTGATATAATTTGCTGCACCCGTAATATCCGAAGACGTTGACAGCAGGATTTTACTTTTTACTATTAAATGTTACTATCAGTAGATCGGTATAGAAAAGATGTGAAGGGATACAGTGATATCCAGAAGTTTACAATACCGATGTGTAAGACCTGTACCGGAGCACAGAGGTACAAGTTGGAAAGAGCAGCGTGAAGGCATCTCTCTTTCTCTCTCCTATAGTTTTCCATTCGTCTATCTCTCTCCCTCCTTCTGTCTATCACAGTTGATTTTGGTTGCCCGTGTTATCTGATCTAATGGAATGTCACCAATTCACTAATTCGAAATACACGTATCTTTTGCTGTTCACTGCTAAGCGCGAGTAAAAGAAGGCTGAAAAGAAAAAGATTGACGCCTATGAATAATGAATCCAGTTCTTCATTCTAAGTAACTCTCTTTCTTTTACGGCCGCTATCTAAACAGATAATGCGTCAGTGCAAATAGGATAACAGATTAGCCGAAAGTCCAAAAACAGCTCTTATTCTTCGTATTCTTGTTGAGCAAACGCTAGGTGTTATTTTTATTCTTTATTCACGAATAAGCTGACGTCTCGGCGGATCGCGCTTTCCTCAGAGCCTTATAGAAAACGGTTCTGAGGAAGGAGTGATCCGCCGGAACGCCGGCTTATTCGTGAATAAAGAATAAAAATAACGCCTTTACGCAACAAGAATACGAAGAATTACTTGATCAAATTACTTGATCAATGCCGAGATTAATAGAAAGTCGGTCATGAGAGCTACAGCTCTTATTGTTTCTTCGCACGGCAGCAGTGCCGAAATCTGTCACAAACCTGATCTAAGCCCAGTGTAAAATTAGTGTGCATCGAAACTTGCTGAAAAAGCTGAGACACTCCTTGTTGACGAAATTTACACGAAAGAACCGTCTTATAAGGAGATGATGGGGAAATAAAATCGTTTTCGAAGGTATTTAACGGCTGCGATAACGGCATTGACTGGGTGAGCAATGTGTATGAGAGGTAGAAGGATGCCTTTCACTGGCACACAACAGAGAACTACAATTGGAGTTGGACTTGGACAACAACATAGAAGTCGACAAAAGGATTGCATTCAATTTCGACTTTCACTGGATCTGTATGGATAACCAATACTTGATTTGTTGGAAAGATTACATTATATTTCTGCAAATTTCTTTACTACGGCTAACACTTCAGCAGTTTTCCTTTCATCAGAGTTGTGACCATTCGAGGTCAGAGTCCACAGTTGTTGCTCCTTGCCTTGTTGGTCTTTGTTGCCATCGTACCGAGACGAATCGGGTACGGTGGACCGCCACATGAATGAACTAGCAACCCCAGCACTCTTTTCAAACGGGACTCCAGCCACGACGAATTAATGTGACCTCATCTGGCAGTTCATCACGATAAAGCACAGCAGTTGAGCATTTATCGACCGAAATTATTGCTTCATTGATGGTAATCCAAACTGAAACAATCGGGTTAGTGGTATATAGCAATCGGATTACTGGTATATAGACTGCTAAGCTAGTACGACGTTGTTTGAAGGATTTATCCGGTTAACGTTTTGGTGCTCTCGCTTTCTTCCGACCTGCGATGATCGAAGTCGGCTGTTCCACAGCCACAACGATGCTGAGATGTTTGCAAAGCCCAGACCCTAGATTAGATTCGAACCTACCATACTTTTTCCGAAGGATCACATATTAGCCACTGCACCACTGAGGCCCTTGCCTTGTATTTCTCTCATTCAGTTTTTAACTTTAACGGTCCCATCAGCATTCACCTGTCAACGGGAATGATATGAGGAGCACAAATCAGCATTGAACCTAGTTAAGCTGAGCTTGTGGTTGAAATCACAATGCTGATGGCATTGCTGATGGGCCACTGTGTCCAAAAACTGGCTGAGTAAAGCTCAAGGCAGGGGCGTCATTAGTGCAGTGGATAACACGTGAGCTCCATAAAAAGCAATCGCGGGTTTGACCCTAGTCTGGGGTCTGGGATTTTGCGAATATCTCAGTACCATTATGGTTGTACTTCACATAATGCTCTGCTATAAAAAATAATAGCCAGTGAATAAATAGTTATACGTCGTTCCACACCCCTTCGTTCGTTTTTGCGATGTAGGTTTTCATTGTCACACCAAGTCGAACCCAGTGGTGTGAAGCCCCCCTTCAATCTTAAGGAAGCCTTCTTCATCTTAAAAAGCGTCCCTCAAAAAGCAGACTTTATGCATGTATTTAAATTCCTCAGCGAGTCGTTTAAATCCCGTTCAATCATTCTGAAGCGACAGCATTAACACTTTTGCGTCCGTGCTGGTTTTTCAATAAGTGCCGATAATTTTTCGATGACTAGAGCACTTAAGGAACCGAGAACATTGTAAGCCCATGGAGGAGGCTTTTGTTCTATAGTAAAGGGATAAGTAGGATCTTTCTACGACTCCAATTTTTCCTTAAATCCGTGGACAATTCAAGTTTTAGGAAGGGAACATCGAAGTTTTAGCAGCTTTAACGCAAGCGTGACAAACAAAAGAATTAAAGGTGCACTTGGAGAAGTCGCTACATTCAGCTTCTTCTTACGCGCCTTGTCGCATTGACACAAAGAAAAGAGGAAAGTGCGTTCTGTGAGCTACAAAAACTAGAATTTCGTCCTAATAGAACGGGAAAGGCAGCACGTTTTTAGCAAAAATTGGCAGTTTCAGTTATTTCCAATCATAACAAAGGCCACTATGAGCAGAGACACGGTCTTTGAAGTTGGGCAGTGCAAGCAATTTTCGATACGCATGCATTGAAATCAGCGCGGGCAGCCGCAGGTTTCTTAAATGAGGAAAAAAGGAATTATCAACTATCATTCAGCGATTCTGCACGAGTGGTTGCCGATCTGACCTACGGTCTTCTGGGCCCAGAGCCATCGGGAGGTCGCGCTGAGGTTGAGGGAGGTGTTTTTGACCTCTGCTATCACCCAGTGCTTTCTTAGTGCGTGCAGCGTTCCGCGTCGGTGACCGTCTGCGCTACGTATAAAGCGCAGTCCGGTCTCTTCCATCCCAACGCCCCATCCCACTTTTCTTACTAGCCACATACGGCAACACTTCCACCACATTCCGCAGCGTAAATAAGGTACTAGTTGCCACCAACACCATATTTGCATTCTTCCCTTTATTATGTCCTCTTCGTCCTACTTTCTCGTGCTATCTAACAGATAAGAACCTTGAAAATTTCAGTCGTCCTCGCGTATATCGACTAAATTCAGGTGATGCAGGACCCTCGAGAGAGGGCATACAAAGCGGTCGCCTATTCGGCGGTCGCATTCTCAATTGTTGCTATTTTGTCTGTTTGCATTACTATGCCAATAGTGTACAATTTCGTCGACCACGTTCAACAGCAAACGAAACGTGATCTTCAGTTCTGTAAGGTGAGATGCTTCATTTTATGCGCGAGTTATTCTTCACGAACACAACGCTATCCGGTCGGTGGTCGGCCACGATGGTGGAACCCGCAGACTAGCGAAGGTCTACGCGGAAAACTTGCAGTGTTTCGACACCATGGCTTCCGTTTCATGACGAATCCATTGACTCAACCGTTGTGCTCTAATCACAACGACGTCTTTTGTAAAAGCTCTTCCAGAATCTTGGAAGGGTTCATCTTGTCAGCCACAAGATTAACTTCTTCTTCGTCTATCTTCTTCTAACATTTTCGAAAACAGAAATGGACTGGTGTTTAAAAAATACCACTCTATTCGTCTTTTCGTTGATATACTCAGTAATTTAAAGAGAAGAGAGTTCCTTCGCTTATTTTATTGATGTTTACCAAACCTTTTTGCTGGCTTTTCATATTAACGTAGTTTATGAGAAACGTACATGGTAAACCGCTGTATCTCAAATCTTCGTAGTTTTGGTTACTAATTTATGGAGGCTTTCCATATCAGTTTGTGGTTAACAGTTTTAAAACTATAATATTTATGTAAGCTAGTGATCACAGAAACTTTCTTCAGTCTAGAAATAAAAATCTGCTGAATACGAGACCAAAAGTAATTTCTCTATTTAGGTGTCCAAAAGATCATTTAAGCGACACCCAATTACGAATCAGGCGAGAAAAAACCCGTAGGGACTACATACGTAGCGTACGGATTACGTTTCTTCCCAGGGCGAGACTACGGGTTCCGTGAACTACCGTAACCATGCATTCTACCCGTACACATTCCCAGATTAGTTAGGGTTTGAAGAGGAACTTATGTTGCTCATAGTATCAGATGCCAAGAAATCATAGAAACGTACGCAAGTTGTGCATAGTTTTCCTTTCTTCTCAGAAATGGGTGTTTGTTGGAAATACTTTTCTCGGATTTAAGGCTATATCTTTGGCCTTAAATATTATTTGCCAGCATAAATATCTAATCAACGCAGATTTTATCAGGATACTAGGCTCCTTAATACGCTCGATTCAGTCATCTGCCCGAGATATCATGAAGGAGATCAATCACAAAAAGCCGGCAGCGTTTTCGTCGTTAACCGCGAATGTAACTTCTGTTCGAATCAAAAGGCAGACGGGAACATGTTCAGGTAAGCGTGAAATACCTTCTGATCAAAAAAATTTTTCCTATGTTCAAAATTAAGAGAAAAATGATTTATTATACAGCGTGCTGCAAACCTGGTCATCCGGGGCGTCCTGGACTGCCTGGAAAGAATGGAAAGCCTGGGATCCCTGGAGCCCCAGGCCGACCTGGAGCACCTGGTCGACCACCGATAATCTGTGAAGAACTTGACATCCCTCCATGTAACCCATGTCCGCCTGGACCTCCTGGCCCAGCAGGACCGAATGGGGCACCTGGAAACCCTGGAAGAGGCGGTAGTCCAGGGCGACCAGGCAATCCAGGGCCTCCTGGGGCGCCCGGTCCTAATGGTCCTTCTGGGCAACCAGGTTCGCCTGGATCAGACGGCGAGAAGGGAGAACCAGGACGACCAGCTCAAAGTACAAACGCGATTCCAGGAGATCCTGGGCCACCAGGAGAACCAGGTTAGTTAAAATATTTTTTGAGACTTCGATAATCACATTTTTTAAGTCTGACTGCAATACTTCGTAAGGGGGAGCTATTAGATTGTTGATCGATTTCGTGAACTAAGCAGTTCTTGAGTCAGTAATTTTTAGTTAAACATTTCTATGTTCGTTAAATGCACTTTACCACACTAGTAAAAAAGCGCATGCATCGAGTCCAAAGTCGTATGAAAAATTTAACTTTACCGTTTTAATACTCTGCCTAATACCCTGCCGTTAAAAAATTAGACAGTGAATAAAAAGGTTAAGATTGTGATTATAACTATAGCCTCAGCTTAACTGGGTTCAATGCCGATTTGGGCTTCCCAGATCAATCCCGCTGACGGGTGATTGCAAAAATATCGATAGAACTAGCTGAGAGACAGGCGAAACGAAGGACTCGCATGGTGTGGTGGTGAACGCGTTAATCCCCGGAAAGGATAACAGCGCGTTCGTTCTCCACCGCAGACACCTGCGGTCCGGAGTTTTGTAGATATCTCAGCATTGTAGTAATTTAACTTTAGTTTCTCTACTCTATAACAATTCTAGGACCTCCTGGTTTACCGGGACCTGATGGGCAGCCTGGCCGTGATGGACAACCTGGTCAAGCTGGGCCACCAGGACCTCCAGGACCACCTGGACTTATGGGACCTGCTGGAACGCCTGGAAATCCTGGTCAGCCAGGGCAACCTGGACCTCAGGGCGAGCGCGGAATCTGTCCCAAATATTGCGCCCTAGATGGAGGTGTTTTCTTTGAAGATGGAACGCGACGCTAAAAGATTTCACAAACATCACCTCGGGTGCCAAATGTATAGTTGTATTTATGTAATAAACGTTTGCTGCAAAAACAAAGGAGTACGATACAACGGGCCATTTCAACCGTAAAATGTCGTACTCCTACGATGATTAACCCAATTAATAAATTTTCTTAACTACGAGATTGTGGTGGACAGAATTGTAACTATATTTTGTAGCAATACTTTGAAGAATTCATAGTACAGATTTATGAGACCATACTAGGTAATTTATAGTTGTTCTTTCAATATTTTATCCGAAAACCCGATTTTCCATTACCTTAACGTAGATGAATACATTTCAGTGAGGTCATTCTACCCCAGGGGCTTGAATCTTCACCATTTATTTCACTATACACTTCCTTCACTATATCACAAAATAGATCGTGACTGCTGATTACCTAATCTCGTAAATCGTCCGTCTAATCCTTGTTTTCACTTGTTTCGTTCTCTCATCGTCGTTCATTGGTCTGCTCAGTTTTTCTGCACAGTACCGTGTGCCTTCGAGTTCTAGTTAGAGAAGATCCGTTCACCTACGACTAAACGTGTAATCCTACCTTCCATTTCGATTCGCTGGAAGTCTTTCGAAGTCCATTATTTTTCATCTCTATGTCTTCACGTCTTCCTTTTCTTTTACCTGCTTATTTGCTTTTCTTCTCATGAATTATGCGATTCGGGAAGCATGAGCGATTCTATTGAAGGTGGTCTTGGTAGAAACATTGTGGACATTATCTTTAAAAGGGATGTTTTGGATTGAGCATCAGCTCTCGAACCGTTTCCACTGTTCGTAACCTGCGCTGCAAAATATGCCTTGATATTCCGTATGCACAGCTGATTTCAAAACCTGGTCCTCCGCAATGAGTGGTATGTGAAATTGCTCGCTTTGTCGAAGTATCAGTTCACATCTAAGCTGCGTAACAGAATGAAACACGAAATGTCAGGTGTACAGAGAAGTTGGGAGATCTTGATTGTTCAGTCGATGACTTTTTTGAGCAATATGGGAGCGACCCAGAAACTAACCATGCTGCTTTTCGTGTGGTTATTTTGAAACCTATTTGTATCTTCACGTTTTCGATTATTTCTTCCAACTTTCCAAGCAACGTACTTTCCTTCATTGATTAATTAACACAAGTTTTTTTTTACCAAACATTTTTTTGACTGACGTAGCAGCATCTTCGTCTTCTCCGGAGCCGATCATCCAAGCCAATGGTCCACAGTTGTCCCTCCTCAATGAAAGAATGTACACTGATTATTCTTACCAAGATTTAATGGAACTCGGTCTAAACTAGTATTTCTGAGCAACGTTGTTGCTTTGTTGGTTGTTCTCAAGAGCTGTTGGTGGAACACTTCGAGTTCAACTGTGGTTTAGTTCTCCATGCAGCAGAATCCCTGTTGAAATCCTGCTTGTCAAATTGTTCACGAAATTCATTTAATCTTCGGTAAGTACAACAATACAACGTTGTTGAAAGCCCATACAGTAGCAAAAAGGATAAAAGGGTAAAGCTTTCGGCGTTGATCAATCAATGCATGGGATGCGCCATGCATTTGACTTCATTAATCACCATTTGTAGGTGATTGAATGCATATTTGGCCTTTAAATGACTCGCTGTGGGCTACCGATGTACCGAACCAGTGCTGATATCCTTGCAGACAAGTCTGGTACTAGTTTTCCGATCCCGGGAGGGATGGAAGGCTTGGTGGGCCATGGGCGCGGGGATCGATTTCACGCATGTGTTGCAGGGCGCCTCTGACCAGTGCGCCACACGCGCCCCTTACGCATAGTAAGGAGACAAATCAAACGTTCACTGCTCCCTTAGTGAGCAGCTACGAGATTGCTATTGCATTGTTTATTCCTAATAGTTGATACAAGGGCGCGTGTGGCGCAGTGGTCGGAGACTCCCTGCAACACATGTGGAAACGATCACCGCCCCAATAGCTTGCTAAGCCTCCTCCGGTCTGGGTAAATTGGTATCGGACTTGTCTGGAAGCATAACAGCACTGAATCAATACATCGGTGGTCGTCCGCGAATCATTGTAAAGGCCAGATATGCATCCAATCTCCAAGCGATGTTTAATGAAGTCGAATGCATGGCGCATCCCTCAGTGATTGATTAACGCAGAGCCTTGCCCTTTATCCTTTTAATAGTTGAAATTTCGTCGGTTTAACCTTCCTCATAGACTGAAAAAGACTTCATAGACTCAATTTGCACACAATCTACTCAGTCAAATACTTTCATAACCTCATTAGAATAAATTTAATGCGCAACTTCTCACTCGTGTAGTAAACAACTTCTCTTAAACACACCGATTTGTTCTTTGTAGGCTTTCCAGGTGCTTGTTTGAGACCGGCTGCACGTATTTTTACATGAGTGAGTAATGTGCTTGGTTCAGGGCAAAAAACCAGTCCGAACTATGGCACGAGGTCTAGTGTGATAAGACACTCCTTTTGGCAATTCTGGCAATTCATTTTTGGATCTTTGGAATTTATCCACAATGCTTCATTGGTTTTACGCGCTGATGTCTTGGATTACTGTGGTAGTATAGTGACTTTCACTGTGAAATCTTCTCTATTATGCCTTCGTTCCTCATGAGTGCCTAGCGGGGTGTCCTATTTGACTTTAACTTTAGGTGTGCCACCTTAATGTTCTTTTACATGGAATCAAAGTGGTCTACCCATTTCGCCAACTTATTCATCTACACACGCTTTACGAGAGATTAAGTACATCGTTCCCGAACTCCGACAATCAACGTCTCTACCGTTAGGGCATACTATGCAATTTTGCGTTGTACCTAAACGGTCGTACAAGCGATTACGAACTAATTGGCGTGTTAGAGTGCTCGATGGTATTTCAGTTATTGCTACACAATTTTCTAAACCGAGCTTTTCTAAGCAACGCTTTATAGCTGCACTTATTTTGTTGGGAATAAAGGGGAGTATAAATGGGATCCTATTTTCGTCAGAGCTCGTTTGAGAGGCTCCGCTTTCCCTTTACACCTATCCCAACGATCTACTTAGCTACTGTAAAGAGCTGTTTGCCGCAACAAAACTAGTAATTAGTAATTGATTATCAGGTTAACAGAAAGTCGGTTCTTAGATTTGCTGCTAATCAAATAGCTTTACGATTGGTTCAGTCAGATTTCTAGTCAGGATGACAGCAGCAAGTTTGTTTATTGTTCTGAGATCGTTTCCTTTTTAAGGTTTATTATCTGGCACTAAAGTCATGTAATAGAATGCGTTTGATTAGAAACTCTTCTTACATTAAGTAGTGGGTGGAACAACCGAAGTTGATTTCAATCGGCGAAGTCTATAGCGTTCAATCATTGAAGAAATCCCACCATAAATTCTTCCTGTTGGTTAGATTCTGATTTGCTTCCAATGTCACACCTACGTCACACCAACCCTGTGTTGTAACAGACAAAATATCAGCATCGGATAACACATGGATCGATCCCAGCGCCCCTGGCTCACCAAACCTTCTATCCCTCCAGGGCCAGCGATTTACTACCAGATTTGTCTACGAGGATCGAAACAATGACTCGATATATCGCTAGACCACCGCGAGTCATCGTATAGGCCAGATATGCATTCAGTCATCTCCAAACGATGCTTAATGACGTCGAATGCACGGCGCATCGCTTAGGGATTGATCTACGCCGTGAGCTTTATCCTTTACCATTTATCCTACGTCAGTACTGCACTGACTGCGTAACAGTACTGCTGGCCAGCTTGAAGAATTTAGGAAAGTTTTGGAGTGTTTTGTCGATCTGATTCTAATAATTCGGTCAAGTCTCACTGCACCTAGTGGTTTCTTCGGGAAACAAATTTGCCTTAGATTACCTTCACATGCGTTCTTTGCATCTCAGACAACACTAGGAGTTACACCTCAATTTGAGGTTAAATCTAGTTCCCATAAGAAAGAAGCCTTATCATAAACAGTGGCGTTCCTACTGCGTTCCTACGAAGGCTACCAATAAGAACACCTTTTCTGGTTTTCATCTATATGGAGCAAATTCTGAAGTTTGCTCACCAGTACTGCATTTCCATGATTTCTTCTGTGCTCACGTGATTAATAATAAGGAGACCAGTTCCACCAGCTGCATGTTTTCAAAAGGTACAATCAGTGATTCTTTTGATTTTAGGAAGATGGTAGTGCTGTGGTAATCATGCCATCGATTAGGTGGACGGCATAACCAACCCATGCACTCGTTTACGCCCGCACCAGGATCTCCAAGCATCCTAGATCACGAAACTGATAGCAGACTTGTCCGAGGACAGCTCACTACCTCTAATCCACGTGGGAACGCTTCGGGACGGCTATTCCAGGATTCCGGAAAAAATCGACTTCGGCAACATTCTAGGACGTTAATGATGAAATGAAAATCCTCAAGAATCAGCCGAAACCATGCATAAAAATAGGACAACCTTAGTGGGTGATGGATGCAGTGAAACGAAACGAAAGCGAGAAACGTTGGGTTTTCCACAGTAGATGCGAAGAGAGGTCGTATAAAATAAAAAATCACTTACAATTAGCAAAAAAAATAAATTTAAATTATCATCTTGGCTTATAGATAGCAGTCAGTGTTCATAAAATGTTAGGTGAATTGGAGGAACAAGCTTGTAGGAAATAGCCTGCATAAGCAAATTCTTAACGTTAAGTCTTCGTGTCCTGTGATAAGCCTGATAGAGTGTTTTGTTGCACTTTAAGTTTCCCAACTAAGCATTTTTGTTAAGGGAAGCAGAGAGGTCTACCCGTACTGCTAACGTATTCGTTCCAACACATTTTACAAGAAACAAAATACACCGTACCCGTACTCATCTAATCACCATATCCTAATTAATCCTAATTACCTAATTATGCAATTACGCTCTTGAAATAGACGGTCAAACAAGCGGTTACAGACAAGCCGACGTCTTAGAGTGTTTGGTGATATTCCGACCACTGCCACCGATTTCTCTAAACTGACCTTTTTTAAGTAACGCTTTATGGCTGCATTTATTTCGTTGGAAATGAAGGGCTGGCGAACCCGAAATCACCAGACATCGTTTTGTGTGCATTGCTTTTCCTCTAAACCTATCCCAAGTAACTATCGTTTCATGGCGATTGGAAGAAGCTACTTTTCGTGCTAAGTCCAGAGACCCCGCTTCCTGTTTTCCTCCTGTGCACACTAGCGGCTAACCCAAACACGTTTCCCACACAGGCACTTTTTGTGTGTGAGGGGTAAGAGGAGAGGTAATGAACCTGCGTGTTTTTTCTACTTAGCCTTCGGTGCCATATGGTGACGTAGCCGTTTTTGGGAAGATTGATTTCAACGTTCGAGAATGGAACTCATTCTATCCTCGGTTTCTCTCGAAAGAAATTTGTGTATTCTGAGTGTCTCTTTGGCATTTCAAAACATTCGTCCATCTCGTGTTATGTTGAGCAGGTAACAGAATAGTCGTCGATATACTTGCAGTGGGGTACAAGCTATTTTTGTATCGGTTTTCTTCTTCTTTAACAAGCAAAATTCACTTCCTGTGAATGATTAAGCACATAACAGCAGTCAGGTTAGCTGGGCTTTCAACATTTAATTCGCCTCAAAAAAACTCGGCATCATTTCCTTTCGAAGATTTTGACCTGAAAAAAGTTTGGCCGACAGGCAAATCTTAGTTCTATTTTTCTGCCTCTGGTAAATAATAGGCGGTCACTTTTTTATGATGAAAATTTTTCGAATCTAATGAGGAAACGAGGCGTTTGAGGTCAGAATGAAAGGTGAAATTGCCGACGTTGATGAATCTCATCAAAAATTGTCAGCACATCGAAACGCTACTGGCCTTGCGGGTTCCTAAGCCAACCAATGATGGTTGATTTCGTGGCCACTTTAATGACGATCAATCTAAGTAGGTGAAGAAATGAAAGCAAATGCCTTAACAATGAGCTCTAACTAACCAGGGAATATAGGAGAGGATAAAATTGAGTATACGAAACAAGTTCGAGATATTTCCGATCAACCGTGTGGCGTTTGCAGCGGTTTTTTCTTCATTGTAACACATTGTAATGCGAGGGCGACTTGGAAGAAATACAGTTTTACTCAGAGAGAGAATAGCACATTACGTTAGAACATTACAATTAGCATTTGAACGTCATGAAATTACTAGGCAGTTGAATCACGGTCGAAATTATTCCATTCAACTCGTTTTGTCGTCTCATGGAGTCTTTATAGCCTTCCATTTATATCTAACAGCTGTAGATGACATTTTCCATCGATGTAAATGATTGCCTCATAACTTGAAGTCAGGTTAGCTAAGATTCATTTCAAAATCAGTTAAGCAGCGCCCTTGAGGACCGCCAACGTGTCATTCGAACTCAAGCTTGTTCTGTAGGGCTGATATGCATCTCTCGACGATGCATAATAGAGTTGAATTCATGGCGTATTCATAAGGGATTAATCGATTCTGAGCAACACTTTTGATGCTAATAATATCTAATGTAATCGATTCAATCGACAGAAAAAATAACTTCAAATCACAGTGGGACCGTTTCAGCAAAGTTGCTCATACATCTTACAGGCGACTTGGCGTGGCATTTTGGGATTTGCAGAAGCCAAGCTAAGAGCTAATCACTTCCTCAATTCATCATCGTGTTGGCTAGCTTCGATTTGAATGAGGACAAAACTCACTAAGAACGAAAATGTTTTGCCACCATTTGTGGCTAGAAAGTCTTGGCACAACAATCTTAGTAACCCAAGGTAAACTTCTATTTGCATAACAATGGACCCCACTTACTTCAATAACTCAATACTTAAATGACATAGTTAATGCCTCATGAAGTGTGGGACAGCGTCAACACAATAAGTACTTTCCTGGATTATTAAGCTAACACAGGGTTGATAAAAAGTGTATTGGGCTTGTGTTTCGACGTCTTCGTCTTCCTCAGACCCGATAATCGGAGTCGTAAAACTATGACTACCGTTTATGCACTACGATTAATTGCTACGATTAATCAATCTCGTAGCTGTTGTTAAGACGTTGGAAACAAAACTAACAGGAAAACGACGGATGATAAATTGCTGGGAACATCAAGCGATAACCATATGTGTTTTAATGAGAGTGAACCTATTAAGATAATACTCAATCGCATTGCTGTGCCATGGTTCAAACAATCTCTGAAGCCATTCAGGCGGTGTTACCGGTCTTTAACACCTTTCCGTGATTTCGTACTTATTACTGTTTACTAAAGCCCTCACTAGTCAAGATCTCAACGGAATGTAATATTTTATGCAGAACTGTTTGCCAAGATTCATTCTAGTGGACTCCTTGCTCTAAATATTCAATGCTTAAACATTTCTTCCGTGCGGGTCGCAATATACTAACAAGGTTGTAGCAAAATAAGGTCGTGTTTTGCCTTAATCAGATATGTAACAATGGAGTTCCAACCGATCCTATTTACTTTTTTCGAGAGCCCATAAAGCGTGAAGCGCTATTGGATAAACCGTCCGACCTTGATCAACTCCTTATGGATGAAGTGTCCATTCAAATACATCAAAAATCGTCCGAGGTGACTGAATGCATATGTGGCTAATACAGTGGCAAGTGGTAGCCTGCAGAATTTTACTCTTGTCAACAAGTTTTCATCAATTTACCAACTCCGAAGAAATGGAAGGTAAGCACAAGCATGGCGTATGAGATCGAATCGATCTCTGCTCCCGTGGCCCACCAAGCCTTCCATCCCTCCGGGTTTATCAAATTGGTACCAGATTTGTCTGAGAGGATAGCAACACTGGTTCGATGAATCAGTAGGCCACCGTGAGTGATTGTAAAGGCCAGGTATGCATTCAATCACCTCCAGCGGTACTTAATGAAGTCGAATGCATGGCGCATCTCTCAGGGATTGATCAACGCCGATACCTTTATTCTTTTATCCTTTTATCATATTTTTATTAGTGTCTTATGCTTAGAAAACTTCAGAAGAGATTATTTCTGTTGGTCACGTTGGCAACAGTTGACATGTTTGTAAGGAGTGCACCACGATGCTTCCACAAGTCTGAGAAGGTTGAATTGGACAAAATGTCGTAATGTATTCTTTTTGTTCCATATATAAGGAAACAGGAGGGATACAAGTCACCAATTGGTACGATAGATCCTTGCAAGCACCGAATGTCATTGGAACACCATTGATTCCCTAGCATGTTCAGCCATTGGCACGTTCCTCTCCCTAATCTATGAATGGTGAGAAATACAACCCTTTCATGCTTATATCTCAGAGTGGGACTAAGACTTAAGGAAGCTGAGTTCCACTTTTCAAAGCGCGTTCTAGTCGTGAACTTGATTACCCTATCTTTTTCCCTAGAAAAGTTACGTGTAAATTTCGTACGAATGTGAACGTATAAGGAAGCAATAACGAAAGTCGTTGATCGTGTGGTGACTTGTTCGAGCTCCTCGCCCTGGGCGTATGAGACCGATGGCCTGAGCTGCCAAGGTGATGATGATGACCCGCAGAGGGAGCGCTCTTCACCAGGCCAGCGTGATTGACTGCGGCCGCCGGGGCGAGCAGGCAGGGCCCGCCGGAGGCGAATCGATGTCGACCGCGTCCGCCAGCCTCAGATGCCGCTGTTCAGGCGCCGTGAGACATGCTCCATCCGCGACCGCTACGAGTTCCGCGACGTCCTCGGCACCGGGGCGTTCAGCAAGGTACGGCCACGTTAACGTTCAGAGTCCGACAGACATCGTGGTCACCCACCACACTCTCTAGCAGAACGCGATCCAGTAGCAATCTGTTTTCTCACTCACGATTTCCCTGTGTTCTTTGAAAACCAGCTCATATTTCAATCCTCCTCTTTCTAGGTCGGTTTTCATTTCCAGAAGACCCCTCCATTGAGTACGTTTTGGCCGAGTCATGTAATCTGATTGTATGCTTAAGCAAAGTGCATAATCTCTAACTTTTTATTTCCTGCCTCTAATCTTTTCATGGTAGGGTATTATGTGAACTCAAAACACAACGATGCTGAGGTATTTGCAAAATCTCAGACTCCAGACCAGTTTTGAACCGCGATTGCGCCTTATGAGGACTTGTTATCCACTGCACCGCTGAGACCATCATTCTGCCTTTCTCTCAGACACTTATTTACTCTAACGGTGCTATCAGCATTCACGTATCAACCGGAATGATCTAGAAAACACAGATCGGCATTGACCTCAGTTAAGTTGAGGTTTTGGTTGAGATTTGGGTTAGGGTCTGAGTTTTATAAAGACTGCACAATTTTGGTAGAGGAAAGCTTGAAATATCTGTGAGTTTTTGACCCTTCAAACACTTCACGTTAACCATAGGTCTTTTGAGCTTTTCTTCTTTCCATTTCGAATGTGTTTATAGATGTAGCACGATCATTTCGAAATTTCTCTCCGAGCTCATTTTATATCTTTCCTGCAGATCTCATGCCGTTGCTAATTTTCAACCTGGGCTGAACTTCCATGAGGTTCATTAGCACGAACATGTGTCGAAAATTCTACTCTGTCATCTCCATTTCTATCAATAAGCTGATTTTTTGGGGTCAGCTTAACAAGACCCTTTTCATGTAGCCCTACATATTTTATATATATATATATATATATATATATATATGTATATATAATCTTTAATTGATGAGGATGTTTTGGCTTTTCTATAACCCTACCATTAAATAATTTATATGACACACTAGCGTTTTTTTTTCTGGAAAACGACTTTATTTTTGACACGGTTGATGATTAGTATAGCTCTATCGGCTCCTCGATCCATTAACGTAGTCGTAGAAGCTCAGTCGTCTCTGAAATGATTTCCAACAATTTGCTTGGAGATTCGTCGGTATTGTAGAGTTCATTTCTATTTCATTTCTATTCACAATACTTAGACACGTTTTAAATATCCGAATAAACGGAACAAAACTACAGTCACATTGTGTTTCGTTTGAGCCAGACGTAAATTGAATGCTTCCTTGAAAGGTCAACCTTTAAGGAGCCTCATTCTTTTAGAGGAAATGGAAATCGATCAGTAATTGAACCCACTATGAAGAAAGTTCATAAGCTTTGCTGAAATACTTTTCGTGAATCACTTCTCGTAGGTGTCGATTCAGTATGAGGTCTCATAGGGCTCTTAATGGGATTGGTTTAACACTAAGACGGTATCCAGTAAGGTTTCACATGTGCTAAGCCTCATGCAAGATTGCAGCTAGTTGACAACTTCAGGTTTTCCTCGCCGAATGCAAGCAAGAACCTGGTCATATGGTAGCAGTGAAGTGCATCGACAAAAAAGCGCTCAAGGGCAAGGAGGACTCGCTGGAGAACGAGATCAAAGTGCTACGGAAGTAAGTCAAGTTCATATGTGTTTATATCTTAAGTAAATAGGAATACCAGTGTAGTGGAGTTAGTGCAGTTCAATTGTCAATCTTTACTGGCACATTTTGAAATCAACTGAAAATGTGCTTCAAGCCGTTTGTTAAATCTGAAACACGTCTATTCATCTGAAATTATTAGACAGCATAAACTGCCTTTGTGGGTTCTTTTTCAGCGTGCCTCAATAGTTAACGCGGCAGAGTTCTCCATAGAGCAGCCGACAAGTTGCAGATTTCCCTGGGTGTGAGATGAGTTTGTCATCGGTAATGGCCGAACGTTTGACGACAGACTGACGGATGAAGAGCATCAGTTATCGCTGCCGCTTGTTGACGGGAGTCATCAGGCTGGGCGGCCGGCTTCTCCTTGCTCTCAACAGCAGACGACTTCGCCATACGTGAACGCCAATCGACTACGTGGCCGTTCACGCATGACGTCTTCATCCAGCGATTTTCATCCAGAATGTTCGCCGTCATTACACTGCATTCCACGCACAAGAGACCTTCATTCTTCTGCAGCAACGCCGATTGATTGTGTGCAGTCATTTGCTCCCAAATTGCTGCATTTGTAGCGTGCTGCTCAACTTAGTGCTACCGCTCATCGCGGAGGTATTTCTAGAGCACCAATAGAAGCAGTTATTTAAACAAAATCAACCATCTGCTTGATTAGATGATTCTTTGGTTGGTAGGAGACGAGTGAGAGAACAATATGCTCACACAGATTAAGCTATGGTCCAAAGAAGAGGCCAAACGAACAACTGAAGAATTATAGAAAAAGGAAAGTCATTTAAAGAGAGTGAACCTGTTTCTTCTGTGAAGTATTTCTCTGTAGGCAGTATGAAGCTACCTATAAATTCTGCTTCAATCTTACTTTCATACTTTAATAAACAAACGATGGCAAGATTTTTAGTGAGGTCTGCTTTAAACGGACGTTAAAAAATTATAAAATTTGATCTTCTAACAACATTGGCGGCAATGTGCATTGAGTTCGATGCATATTCAGATGGAAATAATTTAGTCCTTAAACTTTGAACGAAGACATGTTGGGTTTCAATGGATCACCTCACATAAATACATTAGCACCTGCGGAGTTTTGTCAATAGAATAAGACATTTGTCTCAATAAACGGCGATGGTGAACTAGTTTTGTGGGAAAACGAAAGAAAGAATTTAAGGCTATCTTAAAATAGTCGGGTTTTGAAGGTTCGAAAACTCAAGTATTGCCAGACAATTGGTTTTATCAATGCTTTCTTCATCGTTAGTGGGCCTCTCGACTTAGCTTTCGCTGGAAGGTCACGGTTCTAGCTGGACCGATAGGGCGAACCTTGGAAAACCGTTTGAAACATCGAGAGCCCAGCGAAATGTCGCGCGGCTATATTCTCTACAAAGGCCGTAAAAATTATGGACCGAACGGGACCGAATGAAATTTAATACTGTGCTTTCAATCTCGCAGTAGTCAACGGGACTACCCAATGGTGCAGGTGATGAGGCCGCAGGAGTCCACGTAGGACAAAGTCACTTAATCGAGCTGAACGAAGCGACATGCTTCGCCCCATAACTCATGTCGAGTTCTTTCCATCACCTACACTATTGAGACACTAATATTCTCGTGAAGTGCATTGATACTATTTTTACCATAAGACAAGGACATGGCAGCGGAATGTTTAATAAATCTTTTACTTTTCCTAACGAAAAAAGAGGAAAAAATGGCTCTTAGGAGGAAAACCTTTTCACTAATACGAACCAACGAGAGCATAAATTAATGATAGGGAAACGGCTACGAAAATAGCGCAAAGAAAGAAAATAGGTGAATTTCACAGCGCACCTTGATTTAGACGTTTAAATTGAAATAGTTTACCATCTCACCGTGGCGTACGGTGTTCTTGGATGTCGAACGATCATGTACATCGAAATTTATTCCCTCGTCAAGGTTACGTAAGCAGAGTAAGAGTTCGGTACTTCATCAGAAAGCCCGGCTAAAAGTAAGCCGATGTTGGAATCGCAGGAAGATACTTTCTGTCAAAGTGGTAAACCCCCTACGATCCGTAACCGCCAATCAGCGCCTATGGCTATGGGCTGGAAATATCTTACTAGTAGCACTTTAGCAAAGGACATAGCAGTGAAGTCAGTTATGTGGCAAATGTAGTATTCGCCGAGATGTACTTTATCAACACCAGCCATTCAAATATAAGTCAATTAATTTAGTACATTTGGACTTGCTTCCACAGCTAACGCGCTTATCTTGGTTCCTAGCTGTGAGACCTTTGGAACCATTCTGGCCACCGCACATCATGTATTCATCATTTTCTCTGCTGATACCCTGTAACGGCTGTGATCAGCTTTTTGTATAACCATGGTCATGGTTATTGAGCTGAAAAAGGCAACAGCTGGTGAGGGTACATTTGGATCACAGTTGTTTTCATCGGAGGCATTAGCTCATTTTTTCTAGTCCTTAACGAGATTATTTCACCTAACTGGCCAACTCGACAATAATGTGATCTGCACTTCTTTTATGAATCCTGTGGTGATCTGGCTTTTCATGTTTCATCCGTTTTCTAAACAAGAGTTATCCTGTTCAATCTTAGTTATCTAATGCTCTTATTTTTTCATTCCGGTTGTCGTTTATGCAGGCGAAAATCTTATACGTTCTCGGATTGTTGAGCTAACATAAAGTTGATAAAGATGTTTGCTTGGCAAACGTTTCGACGTCTTCGTCTTCATCAGAGCTGACTCAATGGTTCACATCGTTTGTTTTCTCGATGTGGTGTCTTCGTCGTACTACCGAGACGAATCTTCTCCATTGGAGCACCGCTCAAATGAGTCAACCATACCCGGCAACGCTCTTTCATATAGCACGGTTGTTGTTGGTAATGACTACCTGCTGATAATAATTTGTTTTTCAACGGATAATCCATCCTGCAACAGTCGATGTTATGTTAGCTAGCAAAGCAACATTTTTCAAACCGGCCGTCATTTAACCTCGGTCGTAATAATTAGTATCTTCTTGGATTGTTTCGACGTCTTCACCTTCATCAGAGTTGATGACCCGTGTCGATGGTCTGCAATCGTTCCCATAGTTCCGAAAATTTTATAATCACGGAGAATGCCCTATGAAATCGACGGTGTCTTCATTCGGTCTCGGTTATCTTAGAAATCGACTTTCGGTAACAATAATCAGTGATTTTCAATATGATTGAGCTGACACGAGGTTGGTGCAGAACTTTTATACGGTTGACGTTTGGCCCCTTTGCCTGCCTCAGAGCTACGTTGATCCGAAAAAATAAATTTTTATACGAACCTCGTGTCGGCTCAATCTTAGGAAATTTTGTTGTCTCTGTTATGTTCTTCGTGATCGGTCTTTATGTCTAAGATTAAGCTCCATTATGCTGTGTCTGTATATAAACAGACAAAACGAGTTTCACGCGATGATGCGTGATGTTTCTATTTTATGCAGTTCATTTGTGGCCGCTCTGAATACTCAATTTAGAATCTAAAATCTCATTACGGTTACTATTCATGCATTCATTTCGATGCATCAGTGCTTTCCAAGCATCACGGACGCATTGATGCACACCAATAGGAGAATGGCCGACTCATATGTAGTGAGACTGCAAAATTTAATGCGGATCGCATTTCCATTTCGGCTGTAGGTCCGCTTGCTTATCGTAATCCCTCGAGAGATACCACTCGCAGGCCAATCAAGTTGTCTGACCCTTTCGGATTGTCAATTATTGGAAGGCTCCCATCTCATTCTTCAGATAACTCTATTTCCTTCACAGTTTAGCTACCGCGAGCAAATTTCCGAGAAAACATTCATTTGTGCAGCTGCATCTGTTTATGGAAACTTTATAGCAGAATGGATCTGCTTAAAATTACTGTCAGTCTGACCACTCCTATGCCTCATCGATAGTGTTTGATTTGATAAAGCTGGAAAATTCGATGTTCTTTATAGATTGCGTCATCCGAACATCGTACAGTTATATGATACGTATGAGGAGAAACAGTATGTATATCTTGTCATGGAGCTCGTCACAGGTGGTGAGCTGTTCGACCGAATAGTGGCCAAGGGCTCCTATACAGAGAAAGACGCCAGTCATTTAATTCGACAGGTCAGTAGTATTGCTTTTTATTGCATCTCAAGGAGTGGTTAGCACTATTGGGATCTATTGGAATATTACATATCTTCTACAGAAAACAAAAAACTACGATTTTTGGGAGTATGTCTTCGGAAAAATATGGTTGTAAGTCAAACGAACTTCCGACTATCTCTTTGCAGAAATCTCTAAATAATATGCCAGAAGAAAGAAAGAAGAAAAGGAGGGGAGGAGGGGGAGAAAGCAAACCATTTTCGATTCTTCTCGTGAAATTTAAAAATATTAGATTTACAAGGCCTCTGAATGTAAAATATATGCAGAAAACTCCATGCCTCGGTACATTGTGTTAATCAAACTTCTTCATTGAGGTATAGCCTCGGTAATGGTTCTATCATACCTATGAACAATTGCACGAGCAGTTTTCTCGAGGTGATTTTCTTTAAGGACTGAATTTATAGTACTAAAATGACTCCTGTTATCATGATGATATTTAAATCTGAAAAGGCCACTCTAGGGAGACGACTCTTTTGCTGATGTCTAGGGGTTCTGTTCTTTATCCTTCCTTCCCTCGAGTTGCGATCCATAATGACGGCCATAGCGAGCGTTATGTGTTGACTCAATAGCAGAGTATGATGAGCATCTAGTCGTCGCTTTATGTACAATTATAGTATTCGTCCATTTGATAACAATTCTGGTGGCGTAGTTCCTATAGCAACCGTCCTTCATTCCATCTTGTACAGAGAATAAACGAAAGAGACGCAGCTGAATGTACCCATTTTGACCTGCTTTTTTATTTTCTTCCAAGTGAGCTTCTATCCATATCTTTTCAAGGTTCTGCATGCCGTCGCATTTATGCACGAGAACGGAGTCGTGCATAGGGATCTGAAGCCGGAAAATCTCTTGTATTATAATCAGGATGAGGTAAGAGGGAGCCAGGGTGCTAATGAGAAATTAAATAATTTGAATGTTAGACTCCTTCTTCAGGATTCAAAAATTATGGTGTCGGACTTTGGTCTCTCGAAAACAGAAGACTCGGGAGTGATGGAGACTGCTTGCGGAACACCAGGGTACCAACGCAATTTCCGATGTTTCAGAGTTTCAATCTCAGGCATCATTCTTTGCCATAATTCTTTTCAATCCATGCCTTTTAGGTACGTTGCTCCGGAAGTTCTCCAACAAAAACCGTATGGAAAAGCTGTCGACGTGTGGTCCATAGGAGTAATTGCATATATTTTGCTTTGCGGGTGGGGTAATGATTTTTTGGATTTATATCAATGAACAAGCATTTAAACTATGCACGAAGGCGTAAGCGTTCCACCTTTCAGTTACGATCCTCCTTAACCTTTGGAAGACTTGTTTGTTCTTTGTTGCAAACAAATTCCATAAGGATCTTGAATAACCGGGGATAATTATTTCATTGAAGGATAAAAGATAAAGCTCTCGGCGTTAATCAATCCCTGAGAGATGCGCCATGCATTCGACTTCACTAAGCATCGTTTGGAGGTGATTGAATGAATATCTGGCCTTTACAATGACTCGCGATTGCCTACCGATGTATCGAGACAGTGCAGTTATGCTCCCGGACAAGTTTGGTACCAATTTACCGAACCCGGAGGGATGGAAGGCTTAGTGAGCCACGGACGCGGGAAACGATTCCATGTGTGTGTTGCAGGGCGCTTCAGACCACTGCGCCACACGCACTCTTATTATTTCATTAACTAACTACAATATGTGTACCACTTCATACCTCGCATATCGTTACAGTTGCAGAAAAAGAATTACAAAGAGAGATTTTATGAAGAAAATATGTAATGTTTGTGACCTCCGAGGCAATTTACTTACATTGTTCAATCCTACATGCCAACGTTGGTCAATGAGCTTGGTCTCCTCAATGAATAAACTGTGTTTTAACTCGGGTGCATGTTGCGCGTAAGATAGAGGTGAATTCACTCCATTCATCCGCTTTTTTTAATTCAGTGTAATGACGTTTTACACCGAAAAGATAGAGATGCTTATCTCATAACCTGAAGTGGGTTATTATAGGATTTATTTCAAAACCGGTCAGGCAATTTTCTTGAAGACCTTCATCCTGTGAAAATAACTGCAACAATAGTTTTGTTTGGCTTAGCTGTTGACGAGGATTTGAATACTCTCGTCAAGTCCTTCGATGTAGTAGATTTTTTGTGCTGGGTGCATGTAATGTAGTGGTTAGAGTGGTTAGCACTGCGATGTATGTGGTCGCTTACTCGATTTCACGCTCTGAGTTAAGCAACCTTGTCCCTTCTCATCTTTTCCCTGTGTGGAAATTTCTGCCTAAATTTCTGGAAGGATGGAAACGCAGGGCTGAAATATCTATAAATTCCAAAAGTCAAAAAATGCGCTGAGTATGCATTCAGCCACTAATAAATACTCATAACGGAAACGAAGAAAGTAACGCAGTGTTATGTGATGCCATCAATCAAGAAGCAAAGGCTCTAGTTCGACCTCCTCTCCAACGCTCTCCTCTAATTCACGTTAGAACGCCGTAGCCCGGCTGCTCTCAAGATTGCAAGAGGAATCGACCCGACCAGCACTCATTAAGAAGGAATCTTCAAGCAACAGCCTTTGTGGACGGCGAATTCTAGGAAAACAAATCGAATGCAACAAGTGGTGGGATCCGCACTGTTGTTGCGATGAAAAGTTATGTAAAATGGAAAAAAATGGAATCCTTAGTGGAGTCTAACGCTTGGCGCATCCTGAAGCGATTGGCAGTGCAGAGCGCTTCATCGTTCCTGCCTTAAACTCCTCAAAAATAAGGCTGATTATTTTGCAGCGAGGATGCGGTTGTTCGTCCGATATCCCGAATGGATCAGTTAATGCTCCGTCTCGGTTTTCGAATGACGAAATTTGGTGCTTACTTACCCTCAGATTCCCTAATATTGTCAACGAGGTGCTGTTCGGTGCCTTCATCTTCGATGCCGATATTGTCGATGAAGATGTTATGCCACATATTTGCTTTTAGGCGGATATTAATCTGTTTGACCATTAATGCGAGATTATCCTGTCGTTCTGTTGCTGAAGCTTTTCGCTGAATAAAAGTCTCGGTGTATGCAGCACGATAGCCAGCATTCCAATAGAATTCTCTACTTGCATCGATAATCAGAAAAAACACCTTTTTACCAATGAATGGTTTGCCTCATAAGAGTGGTGTCAGGAGGGTGACTGTTTGGCCTAGCAGTAGTCAAACGCTTCTTGGAACTAGCAGCTTCAATAAATGGTGTTCTTTTTTTTAATCACAAACTCTTAAGTAACCCTCTTTAGTGGCCCTTTATTGGCTGTAGAGCTTTGCGTTCCACTTGAGCTGTTTGCAAATATTTTGAATTCAGAAAAGTAGTGTCGCTCACTTTTGGTTAAGAATCAGCAACTTCCTGATAGCCTTCGAAGTTCTGCAAGAGAGAACATCAGTTTTCGCTGTAGGAAATGGGACCGAGGTGATTAGTTGCTTCCGGCATGACTCGAGCGACTTAATACAAAGACGGTGTAACCTTTAGCTTTTAGGATTCGAATATTAGCATTTTTCGGGGCGAGCACATGACTGCATTTAGAACGCGTTTATCTTTCAATGTAAGCGCTGCGTAGCTTCCCAGCTGTGATAGTTACACAACTGAAATAGATTCGTGGAAGTGGTTCCTTTAAGCAAAAAAAAGAAACAAATCATTTGGAGTTTATAACTACATTAGGTCGCTGGAGTACTCAATAAATGACTTCTTTGATGTTTGCAGATACCCACCGTTCTACGACGAAAGCGACGCGAATCTTTTCGCGCAGATCATTAAGGGTGAATACGAATTCGATGCTCCGTATTGGGACCAGATTTCAGACTCCGGTGAGTGAAGTTTTTTTGGACTTTTCTTAACTTCTGATAGTTTCCGATTATATCCATTCGCATTTATCATCCGTACTGTTGATATTGGGCTACAATCACGTTTTCATTTTTCTTTGTTGTTCGAATTACGGAACTGCTGCGTAAAAAAAAGGATAGAGCTTTCGGCGTTGATCAATCCATGAGGGATGCGCTTTGCATTCGGCTTCATTAAGCATCATTTGGAAGTGATTGAATGCATATCTGACCTTTATCATAACCTGGTGGCCTACCGATATATCGAGCCAGTGTTGCTATCCCCCAGACTACACTGGTTCCAATTTTCCAACCCCGGAAGAATGGAAGGCTTGGTGGAGCATAGGCGTGGGGATCGATTCCACGTGCGTGTCGCAGGGCGCTTCCGACTGCTGCTCCACACGCGCTCTAACTACTTACAAAGTAAAAACAAAAATAAATTATCTATTGCTTTTAATATTCAACAAGAATCTTCAGCGAGATTGTCTCGTTTTGACGAGTGCTTTCGATGATGGTGCACAAATGGTGTGTATACTAAGTCATTAAAGTTGTTGTGGATTTCAGCGAAAATCAGCAGTATATATCAGACCGTATATGTCACGTAAAGGACGCGTGTTACGCAGCCGTTGGAGGCGCCCTGCAGTACACGTGGGATCGATCCCCGCACACATAGCCCACCAAGACTTTTATCTCTCCGGGGTCGGCAAATTGGTACCAGATTTGTTTGGGAGGACAGCAGCACTGACTCGATAGATCGATAGACCACCTCGATTGTAAAGGCCAGGTTTGCATTCAGTCATCTCCAACTATACTTACTGAAGTCGAATGCATGGCGCATCCCTCAGGGATTGATCGACTCCGAGAACTTTGTCCTTCATCCTTTTTATATGTCAAGTACATTGAAAAAAATTGAAGGTCGAAAATTGTACAATTGTAAAATTGCAGACATCGGTGTAAGAACCATCATTTCAGTGCGTTCCCTTCAGCACTAAGTATCATTATATTGACATTTTGTATTAGTAGAAACATAGTCTTCGAAGTGATTAGAGACGCCATGTAATGATGCACACATGGTCTCATATTCGACGTCACCACTGGGAAAGTCTCATGCTTCTACGGGATCAACAGAATTGTACCAGACTTATTTGAAAAATACTCACATCGATCCGCAAAAGTCAGCGGCTGAGTACAATGAAGACCTTTGAATGTTCAGCTTAGGGATTCCTGGATTCTAGTATGGAATCAACTCTTCAGCATTCAGCGGCATTTATGAGGAAGCCAAAATTCTCAGGTGTCAGCCGAACACAAACCCGAAAACTTTCATAGATGACGAATAGAAGATAGTGAGTCGCATGAAAAAAGTACTGAGACTCGAACAGTGTGTGAATCCATGTCACATAAATAGCAACAAATGAAGTGAAAAATATGTAGATCGAAGAATGTTTCTATTTGCCTGAGGTGGCATTTCTTAATTTCCTTGTTGTTAATTGAGTGTTTCATCTTCGCACATCAGATTGAAAATCTCTGATTGTCGAGGAGATTTGTTGACTAGGAAATGATAGCAACAGTTCATAAGAGAAGCTAATAACTGCGCGAGCAACCGCTAATGCTCTTTTATTCACTCCTCATGTCAGCAAAGCGAGGGAGCACGTAATTCAGTGCACTGAGTGCTTAATGGCGCGTGCACCGCGGGAGAATTCGATGGGGCTAGCGGTCCTCCCCGTTTTCCGGCTGTGGGCAGATTTTTCTTCAAAAAGTAAAGTACTCACCTGTTCATAGGTTGTTCCTCGCAAACCACAGTGCATTCATTCACTGTGATTGTGTAAGTGGAACAGAAATGTAGCTATTGAACCAATCCAAGGTTTATACACCGTAGAGTTTTTACCTTCTCCTTCTGTCACTAATGTACCTTAAGACTGAATATGTAGATGTAATCATTTTTTCTGGAATTGTTTTATTTTAAACGCATTTAAAAATACCCAAAAATATTATAAAGTCATTCTGTTGCAGCGAAGGATTTTATTTCTCATCTGATGTGTTGCGATCCGGAGCAACGTTTCACATGTGAACAGGCCCTGGAGCATCCATGGTGAGTCTTGTGTCGCTCGGTCCATAACCACTGAAAAGATAGGCGTAAAAAATAACCGCCATCTGCAGGGTCGCTTTTTTTACTTTTCTTGCTTCTAAGATATCGTTTAGGATCAGTGGTAACACGGCCTACACAAAGGACATTCACGGCTCGGTCGTCACACATCTGAAGAAGTCATTGGCTAGGAGGAATTGGCGAAAGGTCTTCATCTATTGATAGTTTCGCGTAAACAGTTTTTAAGAGAATACTGAGCAGAATTCAGTTGAAAATAAATGGTTATGGTAGGCTCTACTACCAGAAGATCAACAGAAGATTTTTTCTGTAGAAAAGTAACCCGAACTGGCACTTCTTTTAACAGTTCCCAAGATCGACTTTCTATTAACCTCGGCATTGGATTATAAATCTGTTGTTCTCTTTTTTTACAGCAATCGCGAGGTTGTTATTCAGCACACGTTTAAATCCTCACTAATGTAACACATACAACACAACGCTAGCTGACGTTTCGGCAGTATCGCCTTCTTCAGAGCTTGGAAGGGTACACTGATATACAATCTACTAGGCCAAACGCTTCAATAACGCAAACGGAAAGGTGGAAATATGAACAATAATTACACGGTCACCGGCTTCTCGAAAAACCCACCGTTTTATCTGTTTTCCACCAAAGGAGAACAGCCACTTAGAGTTGCACACGGTTGCTTGCTGCACCACCTCACATCAAGATTCAGTTCTGAGATACGAGGCTAGATCACACGTCATCTCAGGGCATTCTTCCCTGCTATCTATTCATTCTCGGATTTTGGAATTTATCCAAAAAGCCCCGAGAATTTTGCGCTTTGGTGGTCTAGTCTCCCATGCAATGATAGCGACTTTTACATCAAAATCCTCTCTATGTTTCTGCATCCTATACTTGCCTAGTGGCGTGCCTTGTTTTGATCTTCGTTTGCCATTTAGGTGTATGCGGAATAACAATCTCGCGATTGCTGTGAAAAAGAGAACAACAGTAATCCAAGCATTTCATGATAAAGGCTGAAATGCATACGGACTCCTTCTCAAGGTTTTTGTGATAATACCAACAGCATAAGGGCGCTTGTGGCGCATTGGTCGAAGGCGCCCAGCGGCACACACACGCGATCGATCTCCATGCCCGTGGCTCACCAAGCCTTCAATCTCTCCGGAGTCGGCAAATTGGTACCAGACTTGTCTGGGAGGATAGCAGCACTGGCTCGATATATCGGCAGGTCACCGCAAGTCATTGTAAAGGTCAGATATGCATTCAATCACCAACGAAGCTCAATGAAGTCGGATTTACGGTGCATTCCTCAGAAACGATCAACGCTGAGAGCTTTATCTTTTATCCTTCATAAGTTATACCTCATTCATTGACCTATACCTTCTTTCGGGGTTCCATTCGAAACCGAAACAGAATTTCTGCAGGCAAAAACATCCCGTTAAACATATCCAATTTCGTGCAATTGTGCATTTCATATGCCTTTATAACTAGAGTCTTGCAACTATGCAGTTGTGCTGAACGATTCTGAATCAGCAAAATAAACTTGGTCCTTCGAAATGACATGAGTGCTTTCCAGGCGTACAACGCTGCTGCTGCGATACGACAGCTGCAGATGCTGCGGCTGTCATCGAACTCGAATCGGATCTCCTCACAGCGAGCGTCCACCTCGGCTGCCTTTCCCGTTTAGCGACGATTGCAGGTCGAAGACCTGATACAGAACGGTTTAAGTGATTCTTAGCGGACAATTCATGCCTCTGTCTATGATATTCACTACCAGGCACAGTTCACGTCTTGAGACAAATCCAGCATTCAAATCTCTTGTGTGCCCAATCCCTTTTTTAGACTTCAAAGTCCACGCACTCTATGACTTCTCGTAATACTTTTATATTTGAAGAGAGATCGCTACTTAAACGTCCCACAATTAACGGCTTTCATCAGTCTTCAAGTTAGTCAACCGCTCTGACAAGAAATAGACAAAAGTTTATGCATTCACTAGAGAAACATTGAAATGCTTCGAGGAAATGAATTCCTAATTTTGGAGTGGAATTGTAGAAAAAGTCAAAGGCTATCTTTTCTAAACGCGGAATTGAAAAGTAAGCGGATGTAGATCCTTTCGGCCGGTCTCAGTTCGATCAATGCAAGCTCATATCCCTCTAAACTGAAAAAGTGCAGGGTTTTAAGTGTGACGTTTTCGAAATCATGATTACCACTACTACCGACTCGCAAAACGATATTGTAGATTTATGGAAAATTCGAACGTTCCATATCGTCTTTTGATCGTTCGATGACGGGTATTTAAAAAGGGCATAGCAAAAACAAAAAGCATGCGGTAACCATATTTCTCACGCTTCTCCGGTGAAAGCTTTGGCATGAGCGGAAATGAAGGCTGTAACAGGAGTGGTTGACTGTTTTGAAGACTACCCAACTCACAAATTCCATTCCCATTGGCATTGCGACGTGGCAGGAGTAGAATCTATGCACACGTCCTTTGATTTAGGCGGCAGTAATCTTGAGAGGCGAACGTTACCGTGTAATCCGAATAGAACTCTGCCTTTGACTGACGTCTTCACTCAGAAATACCTCGTCCACTCACACCCCGACTTGGACTCCTCTCAGCTGTTTTCGGTTGCTGTTGAGCAGACACGCACGACTTACGTGTTTCCAAACTGCAGCCTCTCGCTTGCACATATCGAGTTCCAGATCACGCTGCACTCACTTCTCCATCTTATCGTATCCTATTGTGATGTGAAATAAATATTATTTATTTCATAGCTTTTGTCTCCCACTTCGCAGCCTCTTATTGATTAGCATACCTAATGGGTTTTTCACAGCATGAAACTGCATATCTAACGAAATACTTGAGACCCAAACTCAAGATTCCTTTCCGATATTGCGCTCTTCTGGGCACAAAACGCGTCTGATCAAAACGGTGACCTTTTCCATCTACTAGATTAATGCAGTAAGAGTGGCGAATTTTGTGCGACCGCTTTGACTACTAGAAATACGACTCTTTAGAATGCACGTGTTGTTGCCAACACAATATTTTCACTCATTCCAGCAGATTAGAGTTTGAGGACGCCTGGCTTTGTGAAGAGCATCATGCTCGACAAGCATTCAGCACGTTAATGAGAAGAAAGGGCATGTAAGTGATACTGGGATTACCAAAAAAAAAATCTGAAAACGACTGGTCTCAGTATCTACGTAACTACATATGTAAGCTTAGGCTTTTGAAGCTCTAGATGCGATTGAAAGTGCTCTCAGCAGCGACTGAATCGTGGGGTGTTTTTGTTTCTTTGGGAGTCTTGTTTCACTTATCATCATTGGTACTTTGGGGTAATAAATTTTCCAAATAGCTCAAAGTTTCATCGGATTGAGGCTGAGCACAAAATTAACGTATATATTACATAAGGATAAAAATCGTTGCCCAGGAGGTGGTAACAAATGGAAAATTGTTGTCTTGAGCTGAGATCTACATCAGTTCTACGTCGTCTCTACGTCGAGTATGAAATCGAAAAACTGTAAAAACCGCGAACATTTCAAGACTGAACTCTTCTGTTTCTGCCCAAAGTTGCATTCTATGATGTTCATTTAAGACAGAGCCAGATAACTGAAAATACCCCAAACTTCTTGCTGTATCTAATTGAAAACGTGGAAGCACCCAGTTTATCCAGCTCCTGTTAACATCGCAAACTTAGATGGCAACAGCTTGTTGAGTTTTTCGAAGTCTCTTAAAGAATTATGGGTTCTATCGATTACTTACCACCAAGGATTTGTGGAAGAGCTGGAATAGTTAAGGTTGACTGCAATGGAACGTCCAAGAGACCACAACGAAGGTTCTGGAAAACATAGATAAAAGTTGATGCTTTGCATTAACATTCAAACCAGCCGATGTTGAAGAAGAATATTCGTCCTTCATGAATCAATTCCGATCAGGTGGTGTGAGATAGAAGACAACTAACATTTTTAAGTGAAAAGCCATAATTCAAAAAATTGCGTAATTTGCCCTTACGGCAGGTACGGTGATTGCATGAGTTCAGGTACGATATACCTGATCTCGTGTAACAATTGCGGAGATGAATATATTGGCGAAACGGGCAGACCTTTGTGTATCCGTATAAAAGAACACCTAGATGGCAAACGAAAACTAAGACAAAGCACCCCACTAGGCACGCATAGGATACAAAAGCATAGCGGAGACGATTTTGAAGTAAAAGTCAATATCCTTGCACAGGAGTCCAAAACACGAGCTCGAAAACCCCTAGAGGCTTTTTGGATCAATGCCAAAAACCCTACAATGAATAGCAGGGACGAATGCCCGGAGGTCATACGCGACCTGATCCTGTACGTTCGCATCGATTTTTGATGTGCGATGGTGCAGTCGTCAACCACATGCGACTATAATCAGCTGTTCTAAACTTCCTCATTGGAAGTCACGAAGAAGCGGTGGGTTTTTCGAGAAGTTGTTGATCGTGTAATTACCAAAGAGCCTTTCGTCTTTGTGTAAGTGTTATTTAAGCGTTTGGCCTAGTAGATTGTATATCAGTATACCCTTCCAGGCTCTGAAGAAGGCGATACTGCCGAAACGTCAGCTAGCGTTGTATTGTATTGTGTTTTTATGGAAGTAAATGTATGCTGTTTAAAAACTTCGCGATTGCTGAACAAGAAAACGACACAGCCGTAATTCATTTCAATCGGCAAGGCAATGACAATGGATGCGTGTAGCGCGTTGGTTAGAGGTGCCCTGCAAGACACATAGATTCGATACCGCGCTCGCTGCTCACCAAGCCTTCCCCTTCGGAGTCAGCAAACTGGTACTTGTCTGGGGGACAGCAGCGCTAATTCGATGCATCTGTAGGCCACTGCGAGTCATTGTGTAGGCCAGATATACATTAAATCACCTCTGACTATGCTTAATGAAGCCGAAACTATCGCGCATCCCTCAAGGATTGATTGACGCTAATAGCTCTATGCTTTCATTTTAAGCTACTAATTACGTGATCCTTTTTTGTATAAGGGATATGGAGCAGTTTAGTCGCCAAACTATGTAGAGGATTATCAGATTACTGAGGAGTAGGCAGACTTAAACCAAGAACGAACTTGTACCTGACTTGAGACGCGAGTGTATTCAATAGGTGAGCCCTGTTTCTACGGCGTTGAGGAAAACATGCACGTTCCGTACATATTTGATCATATTTATGCATGCGCA